GTGTTGCATGCATCAGTCCAAAAGCACTTAATTAAAAAGCGCCCATCCATAAAAAAAGGCCTTCTGTAGCGAATCGATGTGTTTTAGCGCAGCGCTGACCTCATACGTCATCCGCCCGGAGCTGCTTCTGTTTACAAGGGTGAGTAATTTATGGGCTAATTTTAATTTTTGGGTGAACTAACTCTTTAAACAGTGACAGGAAATTAGGGCACTCCACTAATGTTAGCGTTAATATAGTTCGCTGCTAGTAATGGAGGATGAAAGGAATTGTTCCAGTTCCCTTTCGGTGTACAAAGCTGAAGTGTGGTGTCATTTGGGCTTTTAACGTCCACCGCGGGCCCGTGGCACGGGTGCCGCCTCGGTTCCGCCACTTGCCGCGTCCCGCGTGAAGAGCCTCGCGCGAGGCGCGGCGGACGGTAGGGTCGGTAGCTTTCTCTCATGTTGGGGGCGTTTTGTGCAGCTGGGGCAGTGCTCGCGTCGCAGTCTCGGCGATTCCACGCGGAATAAAATACAAACTGAAAAACCTGTGAAATCCAAGTGGAAAGGTTCTGAGAACCCACACGTTTCGGCTCCACGGCAACCAGAGCTGACTGCGGCCACTCTAGTCAATGTGTTCATAGCAGCCGCGCCGCGGCACGTTCCATAAGCGGCTCTCCGTGCTGCTTCGCTAAAGATAGGCGCTTAGGCTATTTTTGACAGACTACGCGTCCGAGCCACACATAATTAGATAATTGAGGATGTGTTTTAAATGACTAATAACAGCTACAAATCTTTTATCCTTGACGTTCATAAGTAGACTTTGATATGATGTAAGTCATGAAGCGCACTTTTACTTTCTTTCTTTAGAAATCCTGCAAGCACTTTATTTTTCATTGATATTAAGCAGATGTAATTCTTTTCTTCAGATCAAAATGTTATGACATTTGTTACAATTGTAAACTTAAAATGTGAACCTTTAAAGCAGGGTCTAAAAAATATATGGTCTTTTTTATAAAATACATATTATACATTTAACTAAAGGATCCTGCAAGCACTTAAATTTTTCCCCCTTGACTCGTACTGCACAAAAAGTGGTTCAATAACGCTGAATGTTACAGGGACTGATTATTGCAAATGCAGATCCCACTGTTCTGGTTAAATAATTTGTATTTATTTTATTTATTTATTTATTGCTAAGGTTTGCATATGGTGGTGTGTTCTTTATGACAGCTTTCCTAAAAATATATCCTATTCCTAAAATAAGAAATATCCCAATATATCGCCTTGCTTACAGTATCGCAATGTATCGTATCGCAACCGCTGTATCGTGATATGTATCGTATCGCCAGATTCTTGCCAATACACAGCCCTAAAAACTACCTGAAGCGCCATTATAACACAACAAAACCCATCTGTTCTCTTCCTGACAGACTGAGAACTGAAACTAAACAGATGAAACACAGTGGAATATGAATATATATATACGACTGCAGTCTTAATGAAATGGAGGGGCGGATCAGACTTATTCCTGCTGTAAATTTATTTTTATACGTCCTAATAAAGCCTTTTATACATGACTGGAAATGTTGTACTTGTCAAATGTTTTTTGTCTCTGACTCTTGTGCATTGTTCACACAGAAAATTAGTTTTTATAACAAAGAGAACTAGATGAGCAAGACTGCTTTTATGAAATATTCACTATATTCGTGCAATCTTTGGGAAAAAATCAACAGGAAAAATATTCTAAAAATTCCTCGATGCTAAACACTTATTATAAATAATATCATATCAACGATACCAACAAGATCAAACTAGATTTCACTCTGCACTTTCAGGATTTTCTTAAAATTAAATATGAGCAATGCAAAAAATCAATGAATGAAAAAATCTGAAATAACAATCCTGCATAAATGCAACAATGAAGTCGTCTTATTTTAGTATTGGGATACTATTATGATTTTTTAATTAATATTTTGAATTTCATTTTACTTTTAGTTAAAGTTTTAGTAACGTATTTTGTTTGTTTGTAAATATCTATCTAGCTTTTATTCATTTATTATTTCAGTTTTAATTATTGAAGTACATCAAATTAAATTTTGTGTTTTTGTCATATAAAATTTTTTTGCAATGTCTATAGTTTTTATTTATTTTTATTTTATTGCATCAAGTTAAACAAAGAAAATGATAATTTATTTGAATAATTTTGATGTCATTATTATATTTTTGTAATGTCTATATAGTTTTTATTTATTTTTATTTCTGTTTAGTTATTTTATTGCATCAAGTTAAGCTTAAAGAAAATTAGATTTTTTTAGTAATTTTGTTGTCATTTTTTATATTTTTTTGTAATGATTTTATAGTTTTATTTATTTTTATTTTTGTTTAGTTATTTTATTGCATCAAGTTAACCAAAGAAAATGAGATTTTTTTTAGTAATTTTGTTATTTTTATTTTTTTGTAATGTCTATATAGTTTTAATTTATTTTTATTTCTGTTTAGTTATTTTATTGCATCAAGTTACACTTTAAGAAAATTAGAATTTGTTTGTAATTTTGTTGTCATTGTTATTTATTTTTTAATGTCTATATAGTTGTTATTAATTTTTGTTTTAGTCATTTTAGTATTTCAAGTTAAACTCAAGAAATGTTGCCTTGGCAACTAACTGAAATAAAATAAGTTTAAGCTTTTTTTATATTTTATTTTATTTCAGTTAAAGCTTATTTCAAGAAACACATTATTTTATGGTTTGAGTTTTAGTTAACAACAGAATGATAATTCTGCGATGAAGGACATCTAATATTTACATTTAAATATTTAATATTTAATATAGTAATATTTACAATTAAAATATTCTATAATGCGTAAACAGCGGATGGAATTTGTGTTATTGTGAATATTTCCCTAATATAAAGTTCTGGCTTCATTTAAAACAAGCTGAACTGGAATAACAGAGTCTTCAGATGACGAAGAGCTGGAGAAAACCAGGTGAAATACAGAAGAGAACGAAGTAAAAGCTTCAGTCTGCTATGGCATTTCCAGAGACCTTGACAGAGAGCAGGTTCTTCAATTATACGGCCTGCTTTTAATTACACCAAATATGCCTCTGATGTCGGGGCCACGATAAAACGAACATCCGCCCATTTCACTACAAGCTCTCTGAAACTAATTAGTGTTCATTACCTTCACTGTTTCAACAGCACGCTAAAAAAAAGAAAGAGTTTTAAGCTGCATAATCAACAGGTAACTGAACAAAATAAATTAAACTTTTTTTTTTTCCCCAATATACGAGCAGTAATTTTTAAAAAGTCACACCTTCACCTTCCTTCTTGGCTTCTTAATCAGGAAATGATGCACTGATTGAAACTATTAAACTGTTTTACATCTATAAATTTCCTTTGTCTCTGCTG